GTGTGTGTGTGTGTGTGTGTGTGTGTGTGTGTGTGTGTGTGTGTGTGGGCGTGGCCGAGGTTTTCCTGGCTCTCCTTTTTATGTAAGAGGCCACAAGCCAAAGAGGTTGTGAGCGACTGATTTAGTGTTTGCATTTTGATTTATTAATGAAATATTATAGACTTTTGTTTTCTCTTTTTTGGAATATGTCTTTTCAAGTTAAATCCTAATCTGAATATATTATATATTTACCTCTGAAATGTAGTGAAGAGAGAAGGGAGCTGAACACTTGAAACTGCTCTTTTACAACCTGTCATTTTTTTAAATTTTGATTATCAAACTGCAATGTAGGCCCATAGTATGTTATAATCATGACATATAGGACCAGTAATCTTGCCGCAGACTCCCGGTGAATAAGTGAGCTGTGCTTCTGCAGGTCCTGTCACTGATCGGAAAGCCAAGCCTCTGAAGCTGGTGGGAGTGAGCTGATCTCAACTCTTTGCCACTAATCAGATTCCCTTTTAAAACATCCCAATTGTTTTCTCCTGAAACCCTGCGAAATACGGACAAGGTGTTTCCACATCTAAACGATCTGAGATGCTCACAGTGGTAAACAGTTTCAGAGTCAAGAAAGGTCAACACATTTATATTTTTGTGTATACTGCACCGTTTTTTTGTATGTTTTGTTATCTTTTCTTCATCAGGAGGAAACTGAAATCATCCGTATTTTGTTTTTACAGCCATTGTGAAAATTGACATGTTGAAGAAGGACACTGGATGTTTACCCTCAAAGGGAAATTATATAGTTCCGTAACATGGCACTTGGTGCAGCACGGCAGGATGGACTTGTTACAGAAAAACAGATTTTCAAAATGTACAGTATGGTTGGAAATCATATTGCTGAAAATATAAGGCAATTGCATTATGACATCAATAATTCTAAATATATAAAATATGGGCCTTTAGTCCACTGAGACTCCTCACATTGTTGTTTTGTATGAAGTATAGTTTCATAATCATATAGCCACAAGATGTTTGTTGACTGAAATAAAAATGTAACTAGTTTCTCTTATCCAAGGTATCTGTGTTTATTCAAGTTGACAGCAGCGTCACCCTGTGGTATAAAAAAGCATTGCACACAATTAACCCCTAAGGTCAAGGAGACTGTGTCATTACTGATAGGTCTGTATATATATATTTATATATATATATACTGTATATACAGATATTGTTCCTGGTGAAGAGGCCGTCGTTCTCCCCCCTCAGCTAGATGAACTGAGCCGTTTGCTCCTGGCTCCCTAAAACAAAACAAAATAGAGAGTTAGTTTTATTTCACACCACAAAACAAAAGGAGCAAAACACTCAAATTCAGTTAATCTGTGTAATTAATCTCAACGTTTGTAATGTTACCAGACTTAAAGTGATATTTACCAGTCTACCTGAGCTCCTGTTGGTCAGTTTATTGACATAATATGAAATATATCATCTGTAAACTTGTCACAATCTCAGTAAGATATTAGTCAACCTCTAAGGTTTGAAAGTGAAGGCATTAAAATTTACTTTCCAAGGCTTAACTACGGTCGGATGTAGGCAGACGAGCTGCCGCTAACGTTAGCTAGCTTGTCAGCTACAAACGTACGTATCTTAACCAATCATTTTAACAAACGCGATGTTATAAGGTCCCTTGTTTTTTGTTTTAACATTTGTATCGGTGATATTCGAGTGAGTTGAAACCCAATACCTACATTTAAAAGTGAATATGACGCAACCGGTCTACAAATGCAGCCGCTGAATTGGGGCATAGCTAGCTAGCTACAGTTTCACATCATCATAGAAGAGCGAATATCCTCCACACTAATGCAATGTGTCACTGAGCACAGCATCTCGTTCAATTTAAGAGAGAGATACAGTCGATACTGAATCAAAACTTTGACTTACAACCTTATGTGAAGGTAATCATGAAGACAAAAATAAAAAATGTGCTCATGAGCCCCCATTGCCCTTGTTATTATGGACCCAGACCTCTTACTTAGTTTTAAACCCTGGGTGTTGATTATACTCAAGACAGAGTGCGCATCATTTCTATAACTCTATTCTCAGATGTGAGGTAGATGGGTTACCCTTAACTGCAGCACATGGTACTGTAGGTTGTAAATCCAGTAGCTGGAATAAACAAGCGTATATAAAGTCATTAAACTGCAAACACTAATTGAGTGAGATTATTGTAGTTAGCTTTAGTATTTTGCCGCCTTCGAGTGCAGTGGGAAATATAGACCTTACAAGTTCAGAGCACCTAAAAAGTGCAGCAGTTTGTATTATCATGCTTTGCACACTATTACACTATAATTCCTTTATTTAATTCCTTTAATTTGTCTTTTTAAAAATGTCTTTTCAATCTGTGATTTTTCCTGTTTTTTATATTTTATATTTTTAGTCTCTACTGTAAAGCACATTAAACTACATGTTCTGAAATATGCTAGGTGTATACATTGAGTGATGCCTTTCAGGAGGCATTCATTATACCGTTAATTAATTATATATTTTATTGGGTCTAATTTGTGTATTTCGCCGGTCAACTGTCAGACTTGATTTTTATTTGATTAAATTCTATTTTATTCTTACTGTATTAATTTGTTCAACATCCAAATAGCCAACAGCATCATAGATAGAAAGATAAATAGACATGTTCGTCATTTCGTTGAGATTTACGAGGTGACTTTGAATGCAGCATAAACCTTTGTTGCTGGTGCTGCTCCGTGCAAACGCTCTCCTCTCATCCTTTTGTGTCTCCTGACCTATCAGCGCCCAGATGCGGGGTCGCGGCTGCTGATTGGTCGCCAAGGAGGAAGATGCGACGGCAATGGAGAATGGACTGTGGACTATTCAAAGCGTCCTACTGATGGGAATAATACTGTGAAATGATTTCCACGCATTGACTCGTCTCGGTAGGTAGTGGTAAGGCCGTGGGATTATTGCCTACAGCACGTGGGTCTGCTTCTGTATTGTTTTGTGTGCTTAGTTTAGCTTGTTTTTGTTGGCTCGTTTGATGTGATGTCGGGCCTGTTCTGCTTTGAACGTCAAAACACTCCCATGACATGTAGCTAGCTTTAGGTCACAACACAGGTAGAGCTGTTAAGTGAAGGTAAGACAATGCATCGACATAATACTATTATGTCATGAGATATTATGTGAATGTGATTTGACTCGTGGTTCAGTTCCACACCTGATTCTTGACCTGTGGGCCTAGCTACGGACGGGCTGCCTGGTTAGCATGACATGGTTAGCCTACTGAAGAAAGCTCAGGTTTAATTAATTAATTCAGTGCTTGTAGCCTAGTATTGAGTTTAAAAATAATTAAAATGAAGAAAAATAATGTGATGCTATAACTGCCTTCTTGCGTTGTATTAATTAGTAGTATTACTATTCGTAGAGTAACATGTATCCTAATGAGTATATGCATGTGCCATGTGCTGTCAGCTTTGCCCTGCTTCATTGTTGCACACACACTGTGTGGAGAGTTTTAAAATGGAACATTCATTTGCACACTCTGACAGATGGAGCTGATGCCACGGCTGCTCTCCTTGTAGGTGCTGCTGTGTGAAGGATGCACGAGCGATGTCTGATGTTGAGGCCACGTATGCAGACTTCATCGCCTCCGGCAGGACGGGACGCAGGAACGCCATGCACGACATCCTGCAGAGTCCCACCGACCCCGAGGGCCGAGGGCTGCCCCTCACCCTGTCTCTGTCCCAGCTGCACATCAACGCGGGAGGGGGAGGTAAACCGCTGCGTTGTACCGGAGTTGATCGCCTTGGACTGAGTTTATGTTTTGAGCATGTTTAAAAAAACTGCTAGGTAACTGTATGTGATGTCAGCGGTCAGATATATGTATGGAAAATGTCATCTACAGACAGTATGGACATTTTCCACAAGGACTACTGGGTCTCTGTGTGGATCACGTGTAGAGGCCAGTAAGGAAGTTGCTTGTTGGTGTATTTTTTAGGAAAAGAGAGGCACTCCTGAAGAAAAAAAAGACAAGCGTACAGTTAAAATGTTTGCATCTGCTATTATGTAGCTATTTAGAAATAAGAGACCCTGTTCTTTCTGAGTCAGAAAATGTTTGATTCGGAAAGCCAGTCCTCTGTGAGTTGACTTTCATACAACTGTTGTAAGACATAGTTCAGCATATTAGCATGCGGACATTTGCTAAAATCAGCACTGAAGACAAAGTAGGGCTGATGCTGATGGGAATATCAATAGTTTTACAGTTTGTTTGGTCATAAACAGAGTGTCTGGTGAATTGAATTCTAATGTCGCTAGATGAAAAAGTTATTTGAATTCATCCCCTGGGACCTTGAATATCCAATATTTCTTGAGATTTCAGTCCGGAGCAAAGAGTCTGGACCGATCAATAGACAGACATTGCTACCCCTAGAGCCACGCCACTAGCTTGGCAAAAAAAGGTAAGGATGGTTGGGGCCCAGGGACAAAAAACACTGATATAATCCTGTTAATATTTATGTCCTGTAAATTGTCATCCCTGTCCTCGTTAGACGGAGGCGACACCGAGGACAGCCAGAGCTCTTCCTCCGCGTCCCACAGGGAGATGGGGCAGAGGAACAGCTAACCACTCACACACTCCTGCCTGTGCACAGAGAGCTGTGGGACGGATTCCAGCCGCCGGTGCGATGGAAGTCCAAACCGGGCTGGTTGTCGGAGGGTAGCACCACCGCTGCTGACGTGCCCATGAGCAGGGCGCTGACCCCCCCCCCCCCCCCCCCAAATCCACTGTTGAGGCGCTGTGCTGCAATGTGATCACTCAGTGCTCTCATGTGGCTCTGCTGTGCACTAGAATAACTAGATTGTTGGCAGGGGTGTATTTCAGAGTGGGAGGAAGCGAGAGAGACAAACATGTAGCTCATGTACACATGATTTTACTTTCAGTCTTAGTTCCTAAACACACAGGCTGGATGATGGGAATGCAAAGAGGACATAAAGAGACACCCTGTGTGAGTTTTGTAGTCGCGCAGGCAATTTGTGAGACCACTGAGACGTGCTGATGTAATGGATCACAGTGGAAGTAGTATGTTTGTAGTGGTGCTGGTAGAGATTACATTGCCAGGTAATGGCTTGTGCTTCCTTTAAATTGACAACACTGTAGAGAGAATTGGACCGCTCGGCTGTAGCGAAGCTGGAAAGCGCAGAGAAGAAAAACACCGGGGCTCGGTTACTTTGGCTGTTAACGGGGCGATGGGTAAAAAAAGACATCCTGTACTGTTGGAAGCAGCAGACTTGTATTTGGTGTGACAGTCTTCTATTGACCCACAATACTCAATAATACATTTACAGTCCGTACAGTATGGATGGCGTTGTTCAATGGCTCAGTGGTTAGAATAAGAAATGATGATGGTACACTGTCTTTTGAAATGTTGATACTTGTTTTTTTTAACTTTTCTAATGATGCCATTATAATCACAACCGAGTAGTAGTTAGAAGTTTTGGGAAGATGGGCTTATTGGCTTTTTTTTTGTCGGAGAGCTAGGAGACGATCGATGCCGATCTCATGTCTGTTGGGGGGGGGGGGGGGGGGGG